CTGTACCTCTCCATTCAGCAATATTACTTCTAGGAATTTATCCTACAGATACTCTCCTGCATGATTGGAGAATGTACATCCAAGGATATTCCCTGAAAAACTGTTTCTAGTAACAGAGGACTGAACATAACCTAAAGGTACATCGGTGAAAGACTGGTTAAATAAATTATGGTATAAAGGGATACTATGAAGTCAGTAAAAAGATCTCAGTGGTTCCAGACTTGTGTTATGATACACTGTTAAGTGCACAGAGCATGGTGCTGAACTGTGAGCACAGTATGGTAACTGAAGGGCAAAAGACATGTATATTCTTTTTTAAAAAATTTTTAAACAACTTTATTGTGGTGTAATTTCTATAAACTACATATATTTCAGATGTACAATTTGATGAATTTTGATAGGTGTATATACCCATGAAACCACCACCACAATCAAGATACCTATCGTTTCCATCACTCCCCAAGAGGTGCAAATTTTGAACTCCCAATTTATCCCTTCCCATCCCCTTTTATATCTTAACATGCACTGGTATTTCCGAGGGGATGGAAACTCAAAAAACTAGTAAGCTGTTGGCCACAGGAGAATTTTGGAGAGGCATGTTTTACAGTGATTCAAAACTTAATTTAAAAAATTTAACACAGCAGAGAGAGGCATAGCTTCCTCTATGCTCCTCTCTCTCTCTCTAATTCTCTCTGCAGTGAATTAGAGGGGGAAAAAGTAGATAACACCACGTCAGGGGTAAGGAAAACTGCCTGTAGAGCTGGGTGACCTGGAAATCACGGCTGGAGAGAGATTCCCTAACCGAGGGGTGATGTGTGGGTTTATTCCTGAGCGGGTAATTTGGATGGGGATTTGGGAAAAGCCCTTGCACTGGGGCTTCAGCGTCAGGAAGTGTCCGCAGTGGTGAGAGGAGGGGTGTCACTGCGTGTGCTGGAGCTGAGAAGAGGGATTTGTTTCTCCTGCAACAAGACCTCAGGTACAGATTAACGTATTTCTATCCAGAAGATAACAGACTTGCGTAATTTTTCTCCTAATGCTCAAAGGAAATGCTCTGGTCCTCTCACAGCCACATTTGTACATGATGTTAAAAGAATGCCTATCTGAGACAGTACAGAGATCAGTGGTTGTCAGGGTTTAGGAGCAGGAAGGGATGAACAGGCAGAGCACAAAGGATTTTTGGGGCAGTGAAACTGCCTTATTATGTATGCTACTACAGCCATGGATACACGTCATTATACCTTTGTCCACATCCACAGAACGTACAACACCAAGAGTGAGCCCTAATGTAAACTATGGGCTTGGAGCGATAATGATACGTCAATGGAAGTTCATGGATTGTAACAAACGTACCCCTCTGGTGATAATGGAAGAGGCTGCTCATCCGTAGGGGGCAGGGGGTAGATGGGAAATCTCTGTACTTTCTGCTCAGTTTTGCCGCCAACCTACAATTGTACTAAAAATAAAAGTCTGTTCAAAAGCGTGGGGGAGGGGAATGCCTAGTCCTCCACACACATCACTGATGCTTGAGCATCTGACAAAGAAAAATCAGTCAGTCGGTGCTCGGGATTTATATTACAGCTTTCATCTAAGAGTTCAAAGGTTTTAAATGTTACCCCTTCATCTATCCTCACAACCTCTGCATACCTACAGCAGAATACAAACAGTGTAAAAGTGGGTAAAAAGAGGCAATATTGGGAAAATGAGGCCAAGTCTCAAGGTGAATCACTTGCAGAAATAGGCTTGCAATTCAACTTTCCTTATTAAGCATTATGATTTTTTTTAAACATATAAAGGCCATTTTGGATGCAAACAAGAGTATCATCCATTATCCATTTTCAAGCGTATATGTGTGCATGTGTGTCTGTAAACACACATGCACAGACACACATACAATCATGCGTACGTTCACACATCCACACACTCTCTCATGCATTTTTTACTTCAGGCTAAGAGCCAGCTCTAGCAACATTTTTAAGCCAAATCTAATAATCTGTGCATTGTAATAATACAACAGAGCAAAGGACCATGAGACCATTATAAATAAACTCACAAATGTCATTGTCAGAATTTCTAGTCTGAGATAAGTGAGAAAGAACAAACCTACAAAAAACAAGTTCAAGTTAAATATACTTGTCACTGCACACACTAAAAGGATTTAATTTAAAACTCAAACATCATCATATTGGAAGGGGAAATGAGAAGCTAATAACATGCACTGACGTTTACATAAAATTAGTATGTAAAGTGGGAGCCATGAACCTAATGATGAATATGAAGCAACGGTTTGCATTTTATCAGACTAAGCAAAAACATAATTGACAAAGAGGCAAATCTAAATGAATTCCCAGCTATTTCAACACTAAGTGCAGCTGCATGCTAATCGTCAGTGTTATAAATCAAAAAAAAAAATCTGTTGAAACTGAAAAAAAAAATTTAAATGCAGGCAATAAGGGAACATACCTACTTTATTGAAGTTACCCTTCATTTAATCAGGAAAAAGGTATTTTTTCCCAAAAAGGAATTTTTTGACATCAGAATATTCAATCTGCAATTACTTCATACTGACTGAGGAGAAAAGTGTTTGCAGGCAAACGAAAATATTAAAGTCTTTCTGGGAGCAGTATCTGTCACTCTCGGAGTTAAGTCAAGGTCACAGACATTTGTATTCAAGAAGAAGCTAATACAATAAGATTTCATTTAAAAGCCACTAAGTACACACACACACACACACACACACACACACACACACACACACACACAAAACTGAATCACTTTGCTGCACACCTGAAACCAAGATAGCATTGTAAATCAACTAACTATACTTCAATTTTAAAAAACCACTAAGAACACCCTACTCAGTATCTTATTTGAGGCAGTTACTGGCTCAAGCTCTGGCACCAGCCTTCCTGGGTTTAAATTCTAACTACCGTTTCTTGCTGTGTGACTCTGGGCAGATCACTTAACCACACTGTGCCTCACTTTTCTCATCTTACTGTGTAGATGATAACAGTACCTACCTCCTAGGATCACTGTGAGAATGAAATGTGTTCGTATATGCAAGACGCACACTCAGTAACTGTGAGTCATCAGTATTATCCTCAGTCAGGATAGCAGTCTCTCTCAGCAGGTGTTCTTTTGTGTTAAAAAACTGACAAAGATGGTGACAAGCATGCCATGATTTTGCTGTTCTCTGAATATAAAGTACTGTCATCTCCCACTTCTCACTCCCTCTCCTTGGTGGACGGGAATCATGGGAATATCTCTGCCACTTCTGAGTAAAGATCGATTTTGGGTAAGAAACTGACTAAAGATGTTTTCTCTCCCATAGATGTTGCACAAATGATACTAGAAGAGAGGGCGCCAACCCCCGGCTGTCTTAGAATTGCTCTGAGATCCTGGCATATTTTCCCTACAACACCATCAGCCCTCAATGGGATTGTTGAGGGACTGTCAGTCATGTAACTGACGCTGCACTTAATCTTTATTCAGATTCCTTGGTATATCGCACCGAATTACTTATTATCTATTTTTCCAAGGTTGTGAAAAGGACAGGGCACAAAAATCAAAGCTAATAGAGAAATAGTTTATGTTCATTCTTCCCCTTTAATTTACTGGAAGTTCCAGCATCTGAATAGAAGGAAAAAGGCCAAGTCTACAGGCATCTTGGCAGGGTGACGAGCCATCGAAAAGAGACGTGAATTCCCACAAAATAAACACACCAAATGCAGGCTCCTCCTCACCCTCTCAAGTGCAGTCATAACTGTGACTGGACTGGCATCCCTGCCAAGGGACCAAGGGAAGGGAAATGGGAGAAAGACACAGAAGCTCTCAGCCTTGACTCCCATACAAACGCTGGTGCAAAGGAGGACGAGAGGCTTGCCTGTGTGCAGTCAGGGCGTGCAGCCCTCAGCACCCAGACAGACAGCAGGGGAGTGAAGATGGACTCAGGGTGACTTCAAGCTCTTCCCACACTGCAAACTTCCTTTCCAGAGCCCCTCTGTACCATCTCTTCCTTCATCGGGACCTGGGGGACTTGATCTTAGAAAAATCTACTCTCCAAAGAGGACTGGCTATCCTCGTTTCTATCTCAGCATGAATTTAATCCCCAAGTCATTTCACTTCTGATGATCTCTAAGGTGATTTGGAGACTTTACACCCAACTCAAACGGGGTTGGTCCTAAGACAAGTGTATTCCAGAGGATTCTGCTCACACAAGACACCAGGCCTCACTCGTGGACCCAAATAGTCCTATTTCCACATGAAATGTCTAAAATAGATAATGCCTGTTAACCTAAGTTAAACTTAACAAAAATAAACTGAACAGATTAATTCCTTTATATCCTCAAATTCCACAGAAAGATAGCAAAACTTCCAACTTAAAATTAGTTAAATTTTAAAATAAGTTTAAGATTTACATTTATCATATTGGAAAGAAAGGCCAGCAAACTTAATTTTTGGTCCGGCATCACTACTATCTTAACATGTAACCATAGACCTATGTCATTTGAATTTTCAGGGCCTCATTCTCCAGTGATAAAATTAATAGGTTTGATCCCTATCGAAGGATCCTTTCAACTCTAAAATTTCATGTTCCATTAGTTATTCTCAGCTCAAGTACTTTCAGACATGTGATAGCAAAAGTTCAATTTGCAACTAGAAATGAATATGAACTATGCGATTAAAGATACAAAAATGGATTTTTAAAATTAATGCAGCCTGGGTGTGAGAACAAATAGAATATTGTAGAATTAAGACCCTTTTTCCTTTAGCCATTATAAGCTACCTGATCTAATACCATTAGTTATTTTTTTTCTTTTTACACTACAGTACAGCAGAGTGAACTCTCAAACGTGAAACAGTAAGGATCTCAGCCACAAAGCTGAAGGCTACCTCTTAGAGATGGGCGGGTGGGGGGGGGGAGATGGCTAGCATAATATGGATGTGTGGGAACTGAGACCACGCCCTCTAGGGTCACGTGGGAGTTAACTGGCAGCGCTCACCTTCCAGCAGCTGGTCCAGGCTGGAAATCTTCTTGAGCCCATCTATGGTGTAGATTGTTCTCACCCCCTGGGGCAAATTCACGTTATCCGACAGAGTTCGGGTCAAATCTGCCAGCAGGGCCTCGAAAGAGCGGAAGCGGTCTGGGGAGATGGCGTACACAATCCCTTTGAAGTATCGATCTCCGTTTCGATAGAAACGAACTTTCTTGGCCTTCTTCTCGGAGCTGAGGGTCTGCAGCGTGCGGGTTCGGTAGAAGCTGCAGTGGGCGCTGTGCGTGGGGCTGGGCAGCCCGTTCACCCGCGACCCTCTGCTGTATCTCTGCGCCTTATCCCGCTCATCGAAGTGCTCCAGCTCCATGTCTCTGCCGAAGGACATGACGGGGTGCAAGCTGAATCTAGGAGGCACACAAACAAAAGCAGAGACGCGGACACTGATGTTATTTTAACATCGCGGCTTGTGAGCAGCTGGCGGAGATACTGCTGTAACTGATGATATGTTTAATATGCGTTATCAAGGCGGGAGAGAAGGACGAAGAAATAGAGGAGGCCGACCCAGCGGAAACAGCTTATTAACCAACCCCACTTATGTGAGAATACAGCTGTAGGCACTGACCGCCTACAATGGGAGGCTTTGAACAGCTCTTATTTCCAACAGTCACAAAAAAAAAAAACCTTCAAAATATTATTGTATTATTAACCCTACTTACAGATGAAGAAACTGAGGCACAGAAAAATCTCTCCAAGTAATACGGTTGAGAAATGCCTGAACCAAGAACTCTGACCCAGGTTTGCCAGACTCTGAGGCTCCCTGCAGGGCCCTGTGCTAATCCTGGTGGTGAGTAGGAAATGGGCTTTCTTATCACTATGGGGCTAAGATACTGCAGTTGTGGTGGGCCAGGAAACCAGAGGGCAGGGAGCATTTAAGAGTCAGACTGTAAGCATTTCACCCAGTGTTTGTGCTCCTCGTGGCCGGACAGAGAGCAAATAGAATCAATCTGTAGATTCGACCAACTTAAAAGAGATTTTCCAACATATTCAATTGAAAAAAATTTTTTAAAGGTGTATTCACCATAACTGACAATGCTTATTTACATTTAATGCTTCAGATGAGATGGATTTTAAAAAGGAGGAAGGGGGGTGGTAGGAAAAGAAGGAGAAGGAAAAGAAGTAGAGCAGCAACAAGAAGAAACAGAAGGGATGGAAGTTACTTCCTC